TCGACTCGGGACTTGCCTGTCTTGACTCGTGACTTGACTCGAGGCTTGAGGGCAATGAATTGAGACTGACTTGTGACTTGCTAAACAATGACTTTGTCCCACCTCTGATATATATATATATATATATATATATATAAAAAAAAAACTTTGCTCGGTCTATATGAACATTTAGAGTTCACATGTTTCTTATACATATTATACATTTCACAGAGTGGGGAAAACTTTTTATCCATAAACAATATTAGATGAAATGCAGCATGATCATTTTAAAAATAGCTATAATATGGAGCAGTCTTCTTGAAAATATGAGACAGGCAAATATTTGAGTGATTTTGTACAGTCCAAATTCAAGTTATGTCAAAGTATTTCAAAACATGTCTAAAAATTACAATACCATATTAAAAAAATAAAAAAAGAAGAAGAAAAGTCTTGGAATCATTTTTGTGGGTCAAAAAAAAAAAATGTTTAAAGATTTAAAAAAATTGTAACTTAGAAAAAACACATGTGAGTCTTAAAGGATTTGGTGTTTTATGTAAAGATGTTTAGGGCCGAACACATGCTTTCAATTTTAATTCCCCGGTTTAAACTGGCTCACTTTACAGTGCGTATTTGGGTGAAGGCCAGTACCACAGGTGTCCACTAGAGGTCACGTGTTGCCCACAAATCCAAGGCTCTTGTCCTAAAGGCTGTGAGTGTGTGGCGCCCTCTGCTGGCTCCAAGAGTACTGCTCCATGTTTGAGAAGTGCAGGACCTACTGCTTCAGCCCTAATGGAAACACTTCAACCAAACAATAACCAAATATATACTGTATACTCACACTGTATACTCATACACACACTTAGACATACATTAAAACATACATCAAAATAAAGTAATTTCGGTAAGACTTTATTTTAGGTCAACCTTGTCTAAGTATAGCTGTTAATTCTTACAGTTGTTATGGGCAAATTTGTTGAATATAATTATTTCTTATATTAATATCTTATTCTACACAGTGTTACTGATACTAGCACTCCCAGAATTAATTAAATTGATTCATTGAAATCAATGGGATTCTGAAATAGATAGATAAAGATTAGATTCCGATTCAGATTGCAGTAAAACCATCTGGAATACATGCGCAAGAGTATCTGTGCACCAGAGAAATATATAAAACCAGTTTTATTAAAAGTAATTTATGAGATCATCTTTACTAATTTATAGTCCCAAACCTGGTGAATCTAACTTTGAAATTTGGCAAAAGCCGGATTCAAACTGCTGCAAATAAATAGTGTGTTGCTATGGTAACTAGCACTGGCTCTTCTCAGGTGTAAAACAAAGCTGAGCTCAGATCCGGATCCAGATTGCTTACTTACTATACTAAATTACTTAATACTGGTTTATTGTCAAAATTATATAAAACAGGGGCCTGTTCTAGTTGTTTTTCTTGTCACACTTAATTATTCATATTCCTATGAGATAAGGCTTTTGAGCTATGATCTATAAACAAAAAAATGCTAGCTGGCGGTAAACTGGCTCTGAAAGTCAGATTCAGTTTATTTGCCATTTGCAGTAAAAAAACACATTGGAATACATTAGCAAAAAGTCTCCAGTGTGCACAGACAAATACAGACATAAAAGACAGAAATAAAACAAATAAAACAGTAAACAAATGTCACTGTGAAATCGATCGACTAAAACAGTTCAAAACAAGTGCAAATCATTAAAGTGCTCTGTTCACACTGATAACAGCTTGTGGATAAAAACTGTTAGCGTAACGAGATGTCCTGCATCTCAGAGAGCGATATCTTCTGCCAGAGGGAAGAAGCTGGAACATGGCTTTTCCAGGGTGGCCAAAGTCGTGAAAAACGCATAACAAATACAAGTAATTATAATGTTTTAAAGGATAGGTTTTTCACAAATGTGATTGTGAATGTAGCAAAAAAACATGTCCATGTCTGTTTTTGAGGAGGAACAATTTTGTGAAAAAAATCGCTCCTTAAAGTAAAACAACATCACCATGTATGGACACTAGAATACTTTTATTAGAAACACACTGCTTGTACACCAGCTGTGTATGTGGGCCCTTATGGACGGTCTGTGACAGGACGTCCCACAGAGACAGAGGGGCCCTGTCTCTGCCTCTTTCACACTGCCTCGTCACCATAAGCTCCACAAACGCCACAATCAGATAATCCATGGAGAGGGCATGTGCCGATATTTCCAAACAGCAGCCCTCCAAACACCACACATTTCAAAGCCTATGAGGCAAAACAAGACACTTCAATAATAAGCGACAAACACAACATTATTTTAAAGCTTTAAGAATCAAAAAGCATCTAAACTAAAAAGTCCTATAACATACACAGCCACACGGTATCGTTGCCACCATCAGGGGCCACTTGTTCAGCGATGTTTTTCTCTGGGTAATTTTCTCTCTCATTGTCCTGCTGCTGATGCGAAAATTTTTATATATAATAAGATAACCTTTATTAATATTTTAAAACAGCTGTAAAATTTAGACATTTACTCTGGTCTTTGTGCTGAGTGTGTACTGTAATTTCTGGACTATGAGCCGCTAATTTTTTCTATCTCTTTTAACCTTGCAGCTAATATATGGCGGCTTATATATGTGTTTTTATTGTGGTAGAGTTATCTGAGTTTATAGACTATATTAGTAGCTACTGGTTTATTGTCAAAATAGATAACGGTGAATGTGTCATGGAAGCTAACAGTTAAGCTTTTGACACTTGTGACCAGGTAAAACTGTCGTCTATCTGCTGCATTAGAACATGATTTAGCGCGACCAATATATGGACAACACTGATTTTATTATTTTCTTAAAAATTTGAATTGCCGCGGCTTATATACAGGTATACGACTTTTAGTCCAGAAAATAGGGTGCTGTAACTGTTATTGCACTTGGGAAAACATACAAGCTAAACTAGTATAAATACAAATAATAAGAATCCTCGCAAGGTGAATCCTGTTTACAATTGTCACACAGATTATCCAATAAGAGAGAGAGTGTGGCCCTCATTTTGGGTTGCCAGGTGAAATTCAATTGGTTGATAATGTTGATAAATGTCCATAAATAAGACACAAGTATATACAGCCAAAACATGCCAAGTTAATAACACCGCTATCTTACATCAGTCTTGAATAGTAGAAGAACATACTTAAACTGTAAAACCTTGTGTACTGAATTTCATGATGCTTTTTCTTTTTCACCTCCACAAACGAGAGTCTTCCCAGCTCTCCCCCGCAGACTCTCACACAGTAGAATTATCACCATGCAAAGGTCATATACTGCACAGTCCACATTTTCCCAGCAATCACAAACATTTTGATTAAAAGGGTATTACATTAAGCTACTTTCTACCCGCGTTTGGGAGCTGTCTCTGGGACAAAGGCGGGTTGAGGGTTCGAGGCTCCTCTCTGCCCTGGGACTGGCCTGAGTGACCTGTGTGTGAAAAGGGGATGAATGTTGATTGACAGAATGCAGGGTTTAGACTCTGGAGGGAAGAGGACCCCGCGGACTCCTACTGCTGCGTTTAAGCCACATCGCTCTCAGATCCACCGCTTCGGTTTGGACCTCGTTCTGGACTCTTTAGTAACGGCTTTAGGCTATAAATGTGGGTTTAAGAGATTTGGAAATGTCACATGTGATTCACACCGCAGGATAGAAAGCAGGTCTATATTGTTTGTAATGAAAAATAGTCTAATAAATACAGTATCAATACCAAAGTATCAGTATATAGAGTGGCTCATGGTCTGTTTGAAAAAGAGCAGTTTTGTTTTAGAATAAATCCAAGATACTTCAAAAAGCACATTTCTTCTAAAGTATTATTTTTTACCGATTTGTAAAAACACAGATTTGTTTTATGTTTTATACAGAGTAAATCTACTCCTTGATCCTCTGAGGAGCACAGGTACTGGCCTCCTGCTGGTGCCTAAAGTCCGGACTAGATATGGGGAGACAGCGGTTCCGATTCTTGCAGCTAAAATCTGGAACAGTCCTCCTGAAAATGTGAGACAGACGTCTACTCTGACAATATTCAATTCCAGGTTAAAAACAGCTCTGTTTTGCTGTGCATACAACTGAAGGATTTTATCTTCACTCTTTTCATACTATGATTATTTACTGTGAATTGTATGCTTCTGTTGTTTCAGTAACTACTTTGAGTTACCTTGTGTATGAACTGTGTACAATGTGTTTGAGCTGTACAAACTTGCCTTGCCTGTTTTGTGCATCGATTGACCATTATGGAGACAACCTCTGTGTCCTTCCATTTTCCGGGTCACGAGGGCAGTAGTCTGAGCAGAGACGCCCAAACTTTAAGTCTCTTTAAGCCCCCAGCTAAAACTAAATTCGAATAGGGCAGGTTTTACACACGAACTCAAGTTATTTCTTAAAACAAACCAGTTGTGTGAGCATCAATGAGTTGGAGAACACCTGCTTTTGTATAATGTGAATATTATAATGTAAATAATGTAAAATGTGATCTAGGGACGGACATTGCAAATTAGCCTCGGCTATAAATGTTGTAGTGTTTCACATGTTGATTGTGTACACTTGTCCCTATCAAATAAATAAATAAATAATCTTTCCAAATCCACACACAACCAAGGAATACCGAGGCGTTCCCAGGCCAGCTGAGATACATAGTCCCTACAGTGTGTCCTGGGTCTCCTCCTGGTGGGAAATACCCGGAACATTCGTCAACATTTATGGACATTTATCAACACTTTTGGACATTGCTCATCTGCCCCTTAAGGCAATACCAATGAATTTTCTCTTTTATTTCTTTTGTTTGAACGCTTTGAATCTCTTATCTGTGTTGGCAAATTCAACAGTTGTTTAAAGACCTCCGAGATAACTACTGTTGTGTTTTAGGGCTATACAAGACTAAAATGGAATTGAATTGAATCTGGTCTTGGTTATTGTCATATGTGAAGTCTCTTGTTTGTCTCCTAGTTCACAAGTTCAAGTCGGAGGTGAGAAAAGCCTATTATCTGAAATGCAGTCTCAGTCCTCCCCCTCCTCCAAGCACCACACAAGACCCATCCCAACGACACTCCGACTTGAGTTAATCATTCCACTACCAGCCCATAACTTTTCGTATTCTTCCAAAACCAACACCACCACCATCTCCCCCCACGCTCCCCAGAACGGCGAGGTGTCAGGGGCCAAATCGATGCTTCTCGGCCCCCATCCCCTGCGCCTGAACCCTCACCTCGCGCTGACAGAGCAACAATGGCACAAACCACTCGTTCTGGGGAGTGTGTTTAAGTCTGAGCAAACACCGAGCCGGTAACATAAAGAGATGGATGGGGCCTCTCGGAGCAGGACGTCCCATCCACGAAGATAGAAAGGCCTCTAAAGGAAAGTGTAGAAGTGTAGTCTGTGTGGAATGACAGAAATCGGCAAAAGACAATGAAGAGGAGAGTTGATTAAGGATGATGTCACCGAATGTTTGGGGAGTTTGTGTTTAAATACTCGAAAACTTCACTTCTTTATCCAACCCATGATAAAAGCTTGTAGTGTTTGTGTTTCCAAAAGAGAAAAATCCTCAAAAATAACAATTTAATAGTTAATTTGATTTCTACTGGGTTAAAATCTCCTTCTACTTTTGCAATCCTGGGTTCTGAGTGGTCAGTCGTTTGGGCAATTATCTAGATTTATATAAACACCAGGATCATAAAAGGAAAGGAAACTTCCAACTTAGGAGGCATTTTATTCAGAACCATCCCTTTCTCTCAATACAACGCTGAGAGTCCAAGTCTGGTCTTGTGCTTCTGGTCCAAGTTGAGTCCATTATATCAGTCAACTCTCATATCATCAAAATATTGAAATTACTCCAGTACAACATGCAAGTCCACTCCACTCCTATGTCACAAGCAGAACAAACTCACAAGATAGACAATTTGATTCCACCTTCTCCACAGATTTCCCCAAATGTGTCTTTCTTCTACAAACCTCACAATCACAAGACATCGCTCATAACTCCCTGAATGTTGCAGTTCAGATACATGCATCTGTTTCTCCATTTGGAACAGCGATGACATGAGCGAGCCTCCTCCTCTCTGCATCCATCTCCTGATCTCTCTCTTCTTCCAGAGCTCGCGTCGTAGAACCAGCTGTTAGAATGTCCTCAGCATGGTCCGCTCCCACCTGATCCCCGCGGAGAAGGAAGAGCCCGTTGACAACTGCAGGAAGCTGGGAATACTGGGAATACTGGGATCAACGCTGTTCCCAGACTGAACATGTGGGAAAGGAGGGAGAGTGAAGACGAGACAATGGCGCCATGGAGTTAAATGTGTTTTCTATTGTGACGGTTCTGGGGATGTACTGTATGTATGTCTTTGTCACAATCTGTCACAGTTATAATGGGGACATGAAGTTTCCCATCTCACACATGAAAGTGATTCATGCTTGTTTGACTGAGCTTTATTCTGCTGCATTTTAGACGTTTACCACACCAACTGTTCCATTTGTTTCTTTACTTTTTAGACTATGCTACGGATCATGTTTGTCAGGCATTTTGGCACATTTAACGCTAATCATTATTAAGAGTTTGAAAATCTAAGAACCACAGTTTCAAAAAAATGTGGGGAGAAGCAACAGCATATAAACCCCCACCCCTAAGTACCATAGTAAGTAAGTAAGTGATGTTTATTTATATAGCGCATTTTACAGACCAAGGTCACCCAAAGCACTTTACAATGGTCAGAGTTCAGATATTGATCCAATCATTCCACACACGGTGATGACGGAAGCGAGTCGCCGAACACACTGGCACATCAGCCCCCGATCAACACCATTCATTCACTCTCTCATCGACAGTCATACCTATTAGTGGTAGGGGAAACCGGAGCACCCGGAGGAAACCTACGCAGTTGAAATCCTCACAATTTTACCTTTTCTGAGTGAATATTATGGGACAAATAGCAGACAGAAAGTGTATTTTTTTTAACACAATAAGTTTAACCCAATACATTTTACAGAAGTTGTTATCTTAGGATGGGAATAGCAATCTAAGAAACGTAGCCTTGAATGCAGGACAATACTGTCAGTCCACTCAAACATGCAAAAACAATCAAGATGAAACTTTCAAACCAGAACATCATTCATTTGATGAAGTAAAAAAACCTGTTAAAGATACAATGAAAACTCGCAATAGTACAGTTCCTCGCCTGAATAACTACTCATCCCTGGTTTTCATAGTATTTTTAACCTCTGTCACATCTTTAGTTCAGCTTGTTCAGTCAGAAAAGTAAAAAAGAGAGGAGCGTCCTCACTCACTCTGTTGGTACAAACCAATTTTGGAAAAAAAAAGGTCAAGTGCCTCAGATTTAATTGCAAATTCACCAACTCCTATAGGGAATAAAAGCAATCCAGGAAATCCATTGGGAAAAGGCTTGTAACGTCTTGTGTACTAAACTTCAAACAGGAGTGGTCCGTCTGCTTGTAAACACAATGTCTTGTTGTCTCAAGGTTGAATAGGGTCAAGGTGGTCGGGTCATCTCCAAGGGGCAGCTGGGATCCAAGCTGTCCCCAGCAGACGCTCCTCAAGAGGCACATCTGTCCAAATACCAGGCCCAATTTCTGTGTCTGCACCGGGTCTGAAGGCAGCCTTGGATTTCAAAACAGAATGCTGCGCTTTGTGAGAATGACATGTTGTTTCCACGCTACAAATGCTCACAATGTTACACAGCTGCTATGTAAATGTGCTGTAGTATTATTACATTGCGGGAGTCAAGGTGCAAGGTGATGGGCAGGTGAGGGGGCGGGTTCAGGCCAGGTGAGGGGCGGAGTCAGGCCAGGTGAGGGGCGGAGTCAGGACCGGGATGTTTGAGTTATAATCCATTATAATGTCATTAAGATGATAACTCCATCCACATCCATCCACAAGTCATCACACATATCTCAAATTGGTGACTTAAAGCTGTCCGAGCTTTCCTTTTTTCTAGTCAATATCTGCAACACAATCCAAAATGTGTCATAAAGAGTTAATGGGAGATCCCCAAGGTAAAATTCTTGGCCCATTACTGTTTTACCTTATTTTTATATTAGGGCGACAGTAGCTCAGTGGGCAGAGCATTGGCCTTTGAGCAAGAGGGTCATGGGTTCGAGCCTGACCTTCACCATCGACTCCTGCTGTCGTTGAGTCCTTGGCAAGACACTTAACCTCTGAGAACACCAGCCACAGTGGGGTGTCTGCGGCTGCAAAGTGCCAAACTGCTGTTGTGTCCTTACTTTACCCCCATTGCCTAGAATGAGTCTGGTGTGTGTGTGAATGGTTGGTGGTAGTTGGAGGGGCCGATGGCACATACTGGTTGCCTCGCTTCTGTCAGTGTGCCCCAGGGCAGTTGTGGCTACAGTAGTAGTTTATCACCACCGTGTATGGAGTGAATGAATAATCTTCACTAATGAACCCAAACCTATGCATTATTATTATTATCATATTTACCATTTTGCCATTGTGCTGGCCCCTCATAGACCCTGTTATTTAATCCACTGCACTCACTGTATGTGAATATTTTTCTAAAAGGCCAACTCCATAAACATTTCTACAGTATGTGTAAGTGTATTGTATTGTGTCAAAAGTATTATTTAACTGTTACAGTAAAGAAAAAAACAAAACAACAAACAGTTAAAACTAGAAGGCTCAACACTCAAAACAGTTAGAATATGTGACAAATTCAATCATTATTGTAGACCTAGTTCTCTAAACTAGCTAGTTGTTTGAGAAAAACGAAAGAGGGACAATATAGACCACTATATAGACCATTATTATGACTAAATTTTAGCCATTATATTCTCTGTTCGAATATATACACTTTTAAGCAACTTTTGTTAAGGTTAAACTCATCATTCTATCAATGTGCAGAAGCCAGTACTTTTCCCTTGTTTTGTCTATCTGAAGGCCAAGCTACATGGCACCGTGGAAGCTGCTGATTGGAGGTCTCCATGCCTCCGCTCTGTATAATACACTTGCATTCTGTTGTTCGTGTTGTTCGTGCTGTCTCTACCATCGACAATAAAACATGTCTTCTGTCTGAATTAAAGACGCGATCCCAGACTATGTCATCTTCTTCAGGTGGTGGAAGGATGCAGGCCTTGTCTGTAACATCTACAGAACAGAAGACTTTTTTTTTTACACAAAAATGTGTTTTTTTTTTAAGCCAAAACTGAGAAACTTCAAGAGAAACCATGCATCTGGATCAGCACATGGACAATCTGCACAGCCCCTGATTCCATTTAGGCTGTGAGCTCCTGAGACATGGACAATACCATCGTCCTCTTTTGCATGGACACCATTTGGAACAATTGGATATCTGAATTTGGACATAATTTGGACTGAATTAAATCGCTGAATCTGGACACTGAAGCTGAAACGTGTGATTGAAAGACACGTCACAGAAGAGTTCATGGCTCGACACAACAAATGCAGCCTGAAGAAATCAACACGGAGAAGTGGGAGAGACTGTTTTCAAAGCAATATCTGGAACCACCATCGACTGATGAAGTTTGGTATTTTACTGAAGATTGTTGACAAGTTTTATGAAAGATCTGAACATGTTTTATGAGTTTTTGAAGTAATCTGAGTTCTGAGTTTTTTTAAGTACCGAGTTTATGAGTTGTTGAAGTATGATGTTATGTTATGATGTTATGTTGCTGTTTATCGATCCTGATGGTCACACGTGAATGTGTGACCAGAGGGGGGAATGTGAGATTTCATAACACTTTTAAGCAACTTTTGTTAAGGTTAAACTCATCATTCTATCAATGTGCAGAAGCCAGTACTTTTCCCTTGTTTTGTCTATCTGAAGGCCAAGCTACATGGCACCGTGGCAGCTGCTGATTGGAGGTCTCCATGCCTCTGCTCTGTATAATACACTTGCATTCTGTTGTATCTGTGCTCGTGTTGTTCGTGCTGTCTCAACCATCGACAATAAAACATGTCTTCTGTCAGAATTAAAGACGCAATCCCAGACATGTCATCTTCTTCATTACTCTCATTCTATTTTATACCATTGTTACTGACAGGGCCTTCTTGTTACTAAGGTGCACATAACATGAACAAAATATTTGTTATATATTATATGCTTCAATTGAAAGCTTTACTAACCCACAGTACATATCCATTTAAAACAGTGCATTCCAGAGTCTGTCTACATGCTGTCGAGCACTTGAGAACAGTGGTCTCTTTACGACCCGCCGTGTCCCGGGCCGAGTCATAAAGCAGTGCACTCTTTATTGTCCTCCTCACTAAAAGTATAAGGAGAGCAGCAGGTTTAACTCTCAGACAAA